CTGATTATTTGAGGTGCCGCCGTTAGTCTTATTCGTGCCCGTACGTTGATTTCGTCGACTGCGGCTACGATAACTACGACGCTTACGTATGCCACGCCTTGAAGGCAAGCATTCCAATATGGATATGGGATATACTGCGGTGGTCCAAATGGCGGTGTTGCGTTGACTATTTCGTCGAGTGCGTATATGAGGGCTGCGACTGCGCGCGATGTGAATCGGACTTCGTTCCATACGGCAGCGACTGGGCGCCACATGGTGGTGTGAGATATTCGAGAGAATACGTGACGATCGTCTGCTGTAGGGTTGGTGTGGGTGTTCGATTAGTCGTGCGAGGTTTATTTGCATTTTCGGTGTACGTCTTCGACGTGGCATCAGATAAGAAACGGTAAATATTGTTGGCTGGCTCTTGCTTTGGTGAGGTTGTAGGAAGCTTAGTGACTTTTTGTTGCAACAAGTTCTTGCAATATTTTATTTATATTTTTTTGTTGCAAATAATTTTTTTTTATACAACTTTTCTAAAAATATAGGAGACAATACAAAACACTACAATTACAAATAAATTTATTTTCTGTATGAAAATGAAATCATGGCGCATTAGATTCGAAATACAATTCTGTGGCGTAAGGCGTTTTCGATTTGACGGTTTAACAGTAAAATGTGCTTTAAAATGACTAAGACGTGGATTCAAAGGCTTTTGAAAAAGTTTTAGATAATGTAGACGAGATGAGTCAATAAAACCAACTGCGTATGTAACTAAAAGGCACTCCAGTCTTTGTATTATACTCGACCTTATTATTGAGTACGGGCTAAATTGGCAAAATGACTATGGAAAGGCGATCCATGAAGAACTGAACACGACGTTTTCATTTGCCAGTAGCTTAGAATCGACCTATGGTTCTGTGATTGACAGTTCAAACGCCGAAATCTATGTATTTACCTTTGAACCAAAGATTGAAATAGCAACAAAGGCGGGATTTTTCCTTAATGATCCATATACAGAAGGTAGCTTCAAACCAAATGACCACTATTCAGTTTTTCGTACCGAAATCGCTGTTAAAACAGAAGGCGTCAAGTGGGCTTCTGCTCTAACCAGCAAGCCGAACGGGTTCGTATTTTCGCTGCAGCGAGTGGTCCGAGTCAATGCTAATAACTCGTAGTGTACGCACGTCTAAAACACTGGAGACGTGTCTTAAATTTATCACAGCATGATCGATCTGGTTGGTGGCTTCTCGATCCAGAGACAGCCAGCTAGCTTGATGAATTTTCGTAAGTTGGAATCTAGTAATACAGATAACCATATTTAGCGGCTTTGCGAAGTCGATCAACCTCCCTTTTTGGGAGGTGCGCACATAGGTGCGTTCAGCGAGATGATGAAGAACTTTGCTTTGATGCGTATTATGGCTAGACGTTCATCCACCCGGGTGAATGCCGGGACTCGGCGACAGAGTCTCTCCCACCACGAATCCCACACCGACTTTGCGATCCTTCATACTGCCACTCTCCTCAGTCCTTACTCCGTCCATCTTCTTGGACGGCGGTGATGCCTTTACTCTAACGAGGACATCAACCAGCTGGCCATTCCAAGCGCATGCCCTTAAATCGTATTCCTCAATGCGTTTGCAGTGGTCGTCATCAAAAGGGACTGGAACTGTTTCTTCTTTTCTCACTTTAGTTCGCCTTCAACTGGATATTTTTGGCTACGCAGAGGATGCTTGGTCTAAGGCCGGAAGTCATGAGCTGCTTGAGCCATATGTAAAAGAATCGTTCAATCGAATTTTCCTCCGTAACTTTATTCATATGAATTGTGCGAGGACAATGTTTTTGTTATCATTCGTCCAATGAAGCTCAATAAGTAGCTTACATATTACTTTCATTTAGGGAGTGATATCTTTGGCAAACCCAGCGAAATAGCCGACATTTATAATAGCCATCACAAAAAATGTTTAGCATACTCAAAGAGCTTTGAGGATTTTTGGATGTATGAATATTTATATATGATAATGGTCCGACATCTTCAGCTAACCAAGCGGGGCCCTTTTTGGATCGGTATTTTTACTTAAGCTAATTTAAGTTGAAACCTGCTCTGTTGACAGTCCTTTTATGGAGAATATCCAGTTTACTTTCGTTTATCGAATTCCATTTGGACGCATTACCACAACTACACTAACCGTCGGCCGATCTGGTGAGTGTATTCCGCCGAGGTACTAAATATGAGGTCAAATTTAGAGTGCAACAACTTTTCATGGAGGAGCGTTTTATAACTTACGATAAATTCTCTGAAGTTTAGGCTTTCTTAAGCTAGTAATATCCTCTTGTTAATTTGTAGTGACCCAGCTATGGCAATCTTTGTGGAGTTCGATGGCATTATGTTGTTTGAGTTTGTGTGGTAAATCGAACAGGCAATTGAACCTTTTGCTGCTTTAAATTGAAAATTTATTGCTAAGAGAGTATGGTGCAAGGTGTTAAATTAAATAGTGGTGAATCGAATAATACAATTTATTAAAATAAAATGTTTGTCTCTTTTTTTTAGTTTACAAACAGATTTCCTAAACAAACTGTATACCGAGGAGATGTATCGCTTTATCGGACAGTATAAATTTATGATCAGTATTGAAAATGGTGTCTGTGAAGACTACATAACCGAAAAGTATTGGCGTCCGCTAATTGCGGGCACTGTGCCCATTTATTTTGGCTCACCATCGATACGCGTAAGTAATTTATACCTTGAACAGAGTAAATAAAGCTGGTCGCGAAGTTTGTAATCCACAAAGGGAAAAGTCGGAGATCTTATAAAGTATATATAACGGGTGATCCAAGTAAAGGCACTGTTTTCAATAGCTTTGTTTTTTTTTTTTTGAGAGATCAGGTATGAGTCATGTCATGCTGTCGTGTTATTTTTGTTCAGTATTATTTGGCACTTTATCATGGAAAACTTACACCTGAACAACGTTTACAAATCGTTCAACTTTATTACGAAAATAAATGAGAGAATACTTCGGTGAGTTGATAATTTTACGTTTTGGGCCGCTTGATTGGGCACCAAGATCGTGTGATATCACACCGTACGACTTTTTCCAACATGACGTCAGTCACTAGCCAAATTGCTCGAAATAACCGGCGAAATTTCAAGAATTCTCCATTAAATTTGAAGTTTCTGTGTTTTTTCTTTAAGAAAGTAGGGAACCTCGACATGGATCACCCTTTAAAAACGTGTACCAGTGAAGGGTTTTATTTTTTTAAACTCTCTATACATACATATAGTAAATATTAAATTTCCACTCAATTTTTAGGACTGGGAGCCCTATAATCACTCAACAATTTACATAACCGACTACCAGAGTCCCAAAGAACTGGCCAAATATTTACTGGAATTGGATAGAAACGATAGTGAATATGTCAAATATCTACAACATAAGTACAATCAAATCATGCCCATCACGAATCAACGTTTAATTGAAGAATTCTACGTACGCACTGAAGAAACGATGTTTTTCACAAAATTCGCTTGTCAAGTGTTGCAAGCTTTATTGGCGCAAAATGCTAAAACGAAAATGGCCAACCGTTTGCACTATAATTGCCCGCTGCCGCTACCATATCCAGCGATGGAGAGGCCGCCCACTGAAATACACTCCTGGAACAGTCTTTTAAAGCGCGCGAACTGCATGGCGAAGAGCATAGATGAGTTGTTGCACATAAATCGCGTATTTACCGAAGGAGAATTGCATGATTTGACGAATTCGAAAATAGAAAATGAATTGTGCTAGTGATGAGCGGTTGAAATTTGTGAATTGAGGAGGGTATAGTGAGAGAAATTTGATTGCGTGAGCGCACGGCGACATGCAACATTTTGTATTGCAACATGGACAGTCTAGCAGATGAAGCCAAAGATGAAATTTATGTAAATAAAAATTAGCTTGGAAGCACATAAACGTATATACATATATGTATGCAATATATATTATGTATATACATATGTATTTATATACATGACAATGTTGTTGTAAATACTTTTTATTTGTTATTCCTAAGTAAATTAATTATTATATTTCGTAAACTTAACTCAAAAGACAACCTAAATGAAATATACCACCCATTTAAGTGAATATATAAAAAAAATTGTTATATTAAAACTATTATTATGCACTCAACGGGGTATATTAAGTTTACAATGAAGTTTGTAGCATCCAGCAGGAAGCAGGGTGACGAGCCGAATCGGTTCAGCATTTTCTGTGTGTATTATCTTGAATTGGTGCCTCAGTTTCTGAGATATCGATCTGAAAACTTACACAAGTATTTTTCTCTCCAAGAAGATTCTCATCCGTTGAAATCGTTGATATCAGACCACTATAGCTTATAGTTGCCATATAAACTGAACGTTCAAAAACAAGTTCTTGTATTGAAAACTTTCTTATTTGACAAAATATCTACACGAAATTTTGTATTTGTTATTTTTCAAGGCATCGCTATAATCTTCCAATAAAATGTTCAGATCAGACCACTGTAGCTTATAGCTGTCATACAAACTGAACATTCAAAAACAAGTCTTTGTATGGAAAACTTTTGTACTTGACAAGATATCTTCACGAAATTTTGTATTTGTTATTTTTCAAGGCGCCGCTGCAATCTCTGAATAAATTGTTCAGATCGGACTACTATAGCTTATAACTACCATACAAACTGAACGTTCAAAAACAAGTTTTTGTATGGCAAATTTTTTTACTTGACAAGATATCTTCACGAAATTTTGTATTTGTTATTTTTCAAGGCGTCGCTGTAATTTCTGAATAAATTGTTCAGATCGGACTACTATAGCTTATAGCTCTCATACAAACCGGACATTCAAAAACAAGTTCTTGTATAGAATTTTTTTTTATTTGTACTCGGTGCAACCGAAATTTTTTTTTTCTTGATTTTTGCATTTTTCATCAACATCCACGTTTTAAAGCCGTAAAAAAAACCAAATTAAACATTTTAAAACAATTTCGCTGTAAATGCTGTGAAAAAGCTATCAAAAGTCAGCATATATTTTTTATAAACATACACACATATGAAATATTTACAAATAGTATATCTAAAAAAAAAACAATGAAATGCTCAAAACTCAAATATCAGTTATGGAATTGCAAGTGTCGGTCATGTGGCAAGCGTTTTATATTGTACTGCTGTGTATTAGTCGCAGGCGCTTTGTTGTTGGTGCGTATTTTTCTACATGTAATGATTTTTCGTTTTTTTCATATACATATGTAACAAATTTTCATTTCAACAGCTTTATATTTGGTATCAGCTGCCAAAACGTGACAAAATAGACATTTCTGAACCACGCCTGCTGCTTTGGTGGACCGATTACAATGAAAAAGTGTATTATCGCAACATCTATTGCGGTTATTTCGTGTGTACGATAACCAATGATCGGCAGCGACTTGCCGAGGCGAAGGTACGCACTTAAATATATGTAAATTTTTGATTGTAATTTTTTGAATTTAATATATTTGAATTTTTCTTTTTTTTTCAGGTCATCTTCTTCTATGGCAGTTACATAAACGCCCACGATATGCCGCTGCCGCGCCACGCCTATCAATTGTGGGCTTTACTGCAGGATGAGACGCCACAAAATGCGCCGTATCTATTTTACCAAGAATTTTTGCGTCATTTCAATTATACTTCGACATTTAGTCGTTATAGCGATTATCCGTTGACCTTACGTTCGTTGCATAATCCGAAAGAGTTGATATTGCGCACATATTTCAGAGCCTTGCGCTTTCGCAGCTCTATACCGGTGTTATTTATGCAAGATAATTGCGCGACCTTATCGGGTCGTGAGAATTATGTGCGTGAATTGATGACGCATGTGCCGGTGCATTCGTGTGGCAAGTGTCTGCGTAATGCGGATTCGCCGAGGTAAGCTTTTTTGACCGGTTTTGTGTTTCATTAGCTGTGTTCTTGCATATAGCTATATATATATTATTTCTGCACATACATATCCGTTTATACGTATATACGTTTTAAAAGTACATTTTGCTCTGTGTTGCATACTTTTAGGCTCGCACGATCATTTTTGCAATAGATATCCACTTGTGAGTTTAAAAAAACCGATTTTTATACCTACACATAATTGAGAACATTCTTCGAAAATTCGAAGTTGAGTTTCGAAATTCGATTATTTTCGAAACCGAAATTTTGCCAAAAACCAAAGTTGACTGATCTTCCATTATTACCGGAAAAAGACAATCCTACTCGAAACATTTCCAAATTCATTATTTTTATATTATGAGCACAGAAAAATAAATTGGTAACCCTACTTATGGAAGGTGACCGTTGTAATCTTCTATAAAAAGTATGGCAACCATGGCAAAAAATATACTAATCAAGTCGACTGACTAATGAAATCACTGCTGTTCGCATATTGACTATTTTTCTTTAATAAAGTTTAAAAAATAAAATAAAAATAAAAAGTTAGTGGCAACCATATAAAGGATGATTAGAAAAAGAAAATAATTTTAAAAAATTTCCAAGCTATCCACTCCACACTACAGCATTTTTGCACATATTATACACAGATAAAAAGAGTTTTTTTGTAAGTATAAGAGTTGCCACTTTTTGAAAAAATTCTTTATTTTAATATTTTAAAAGAACGTTTATTTATTGCTTTAGATTCATGTAACGGTATGCCAATATTTTTGGGAACTGCACTTTTTTATATTTATTACAAAGAAACGATGGCAATCCTGCCCCAAAAAAATTTCAACAGTTTGATTACACTTTAGAAGCAATTAAAAGATGTTATAGTTTAATAGTCATAGATACATACATATATACATACACACATACATATGTTCTTGTACTATTATATATACTTGTGTATGTCAGCCATGAACTTGTTTCGTTTTAAGTATATAACAACTCAATTGAGTATTTTAAATAGATTTTATTTGGTTTATGTTACGGTAAGTAACGTAAAACCTGTACACTATAAATACTTTTCGTGAAATACTGAAATCTTAATGGCAACTCTATTTTAAGATTTCTGAAATTTCGTGAAGTTTTTCTTGTCTCGATTCGAAAATAGATTCGATTTAGTTTATATGGTAATTAGAGAAAACATATTGTTTTTTTCAAGTACAAGTATATGTGTGTAAACTTAGTGGCAACCCTTTTCCAGCACATGTACAAATTTAAAGTGTTTTAAGTAAACTACCATTTCTTAAATACAGACACTTTTTATATACATATATGTGTATATTTAAAAGCATATACATATGCTTTAAGTGGCCTTAATGAGATTGTTGAACGCATATGGCAACATTGCTTTGTTTTTACATATTTAAGAATTAACTGATTTTTTTAATGGATTTCATTTCGTTTCTAACATGCAATGTATCGAAAAACGAGCTTATAAAGTATTATAAACGCTGTTTACTCAATTTGTGAAATCACTGTGGCAACTCTATTTTATTATTTTCAAATTTTTTAAAGCAATTATTTGACATATTTTTACTTTGATTTTGTCTATCTTATAAAGGAAAGTGTTTACTCAGTTTTTGAAATCACTGTGGCAACTCTATTTTTACTTTTCAAATTTATAAAATATTTATTTGACTTATTTTTGCTTTCTCTTTGTCATTTCTTTAAATATCAGTTTGAGATAAAATATTATTTTAAATTTTTTGTTGTAAGAAGGGGCAACACTATTTAGAAAAATATCAAAATATGTAATACGAAAAAATTAGACAATACGCAACTATTTTTACCACAAAAATTTCATGTTGTATAATAGTATAGCATAAATACTGCTTACTCAATTAATAAAATCACCGTGTCAACTCTATTTTATACTTTTAATATGTTTTAAAATAGTTATTTGACTTAGTTTCGCTTTGATTTCGTCATTTCTTTAAATAATTCTTGTGAGAAGTCGCAACTCTATTTAGAAAAAAATCAAAATCTCTAATACGAAATAAAATTACGCAATATGCAACTACTTTTACCACAGCAATTTCATGACACATATCAGTGTAGCATAAACACTTTTCAGCACAATTAATACAATCACCGTTGCAACAATTTTTTTTTTATATTTAATATTTAAGCATTTATTTAACAGATTTTTGTTTTGATTTTATAATTTCTTTAAGTATTTGTTTAAGACATTGTTTTTTAAATTTCTTTCTGTAGGAAGTGGCAACCCTGTTTAGAAAAAAATTTAACATCTATAGTACGCGATTACAAATATAAATTCAGTTATTGTTTCCATACAATTTTATTGCATTAGCTAAATCGGTATGGCAACTCTAGTTTATTTTTTTAAATTTTAATTTTTTATTTTTACTTTACACATTAATATAGCTATTATTTAACAAATTTGTGTTTCGATTTTATAACCATTTGTTTAACTTTTTTTTAAATTTCTTTATAAGTGGCAACCCTGTTTAGAAAAAAATGAAAATATTTAATACGTGGCCGCAAATATAAATTTAGGCAATAAACAATTATGATTTATAAAAAATTTTTACTGAACTAATTAAATCTCTGTGGCAACTTTAGTTAAATTTTTTAAATTTTAATTTTCTATTTCTTCTTAGTATCTGATTATTACTCTATATACATATCAGTTGGAGAAAATTATTTTTTATTTAATTTTTTTTTGTGAAAATTGGCAGCTCTCTTTCGAAAAAGTTTAAAACTACAATACACGATCATAATATACTCGCATAAATTTGGGCAAAATGCAAAAAGTTTTCTACACAAGTGTTTCTTCATATTTTTTTCTGTCAATGTTTACTTACATACATATGTTGATATGTGTAATATACATATATGTACTTATATATGTATGTATGTAACAATATTTACATATGTACAGTTAAATAACATTGTGTTTCATAAATCTCCCAAGCCATTATTATACAATCACTCATCAAATCCTACACCCTTCATACTGCTTCAAAGCCTTACTTTTATATTTACACCACTTACCTTTTGTTGACTAGTTTTAGGCGTGAAAACGATGTGCTGCGTTTTATTTCAGGCTTTAAATTCGTAATAGCCTTCGAAGATGCCATTTGTGATGATTATATAACAGCTGCATACTGGCAGGCACTAATAGTGGGTGCCATACCCATATATTTTGGCTCGCTTACAATACGGGTAAGTACAGGGTTACCTGTTAAGTAGTAGTTATGAAATTATCAAATATAAACTCTGCCTCTTTTTTTAGGATTGGGAACCGCACAATCACTCCGCTATTTACGCTTCAGACTTTGAGAGTCCCGCAGCTTTAGCCGAACTTATCTACGAACTGGTTGATAATGAGACGGCTTTTCTCGATTATTTGCAACACAAATTTAATACCGAGGAGCCAATAACAAATAAGCGCTTACTTAAAGCCTTGCTTTGGCACTTCAATTTGTCGAAAAAAGCTGAGCATTTTGAAAAATTCGAAAAAGAAATGTGTACCGAGATCAATAGTCGGAGAGATAAACCAATTTCGAAAATTGCTAATCAGACGCACTTCAGTTGTCCTTTGCCACAACGCTTGCCCGCAACACGGAAGAATTACACAAAACACGCGCAACAATGGAAAGTTAATTTTACCGTTAGCCAGCGTATTGTGCGCCTGTTGGATATACTTTTTCGGCGGAATGCACCTAATGCGCCGACACAATTTACAGAGAAGGTGAAGCAGCTGGTTGGTTGGGACAATCTTTAATGATTGCCATCATTAGGGTGGCACTCAGGTGTCGCAGTGGATTATTGTTACCATTGAATGAAAATATAGATATACATATGTATATTTTTAAAATACAGATATTATTTTTACGTAGTGTCCTAGAGTAACTCTGTTTACACGCTCTACCTTCATTTGGATTTGTTTATCGACGTTGAGACGGATTGAGTAGGGACTTATATTTACCTTATTTCCAGAAGATTAATCACCCATCCATATACGTTTTTTTTTATTAAGAACTCTGCTTAAATACCAATCTGGATCATCCATACATTTGGTCTATAACCAATTCTAAAGTAGGCAAACTTCTTTGTTTACTAACTCTGTAGAAAGAATAAATATCTTTTTATGGCTAGAAATAAGGTCATTTGTCTATGCTCCTGGCTTACAAAGTAAATACTATATGTATTCAGACACGACGAAATATTTTTCACATGTCAACATTTTGGTTTGTCGGTATTTTGATATAGCTGTATATTTAAATTTTCTCGATATTTTGAAGTGTCGGCATTTTGATCTTCGGTATTTTAAGTGTATCCCGTCCATTTTTCTTCAAAAATAATGCCGGTGAGTCCGTAACGGCGACCGTTTTCGCGCCATGATAACCGACAATTTGATGTCTGATATTGGAGATCGTGATCTAGGCGAAATTTGGTTAGTGGATTTTTTAAGAGAACACTTCGGTGAGTAGATAATTTTACGTTTTGGATCGGTTACACAGCGTTAGGCTGTTCAAGCGCCAGTTATCAATCGAAGTGCTCGAACAAGTCATCGGAAATTGAACTCAACGGATAAACCATGTGTGATGTAGCCGCGGCCAACATTTGAAATTTATATTCTTCAAAATACAAGGTATCGCAAAAATAACCTTCCGACGTTTTTTCGCTGTAACTTTTTAAAAGAATGAAAAGCTTTGCGTCTGTTAGTGGATTATTTTTATTTGGTCTTTTAGATTTGTTTACATCAAGTCGAGAATATGATATCATGACATGTAAATGGCCGCCGCCACAGTTGACTGTCATTTGAGCTCTTTTTATGGCATTTTCCATCACTTTCACCAGAACTCCCGGCGATAGGTCCTTACATTCTTGACGAATATTGTCTTTAAGAACTGCAAGAGTGTGAGGCTTGTTGACATAAACCCGCGACTTAAAAAGAACCCCACAAAAAGAAATGTGGATCGTCAGATCAGGCGATCTTAGTGGCGAGTGCAAATCGCCAAAACGGGAGATTAGGTGCCCGGGAAATTCATGCATGCATATCGGTTGTTTCACGTGCAGTGTGTGCCGTTGCACCGTCCTGTTGGAATCACATGTTTTCCAATCCCAGTTCATCAAGTTGCGGCAAAAAAAACTTGTTCATCATTGCTCTGTAGTGCTCACCACTCACAGTAACCGTTTGGCCCGGGACGTCTGCAAAAAAAAAAAGATCCGATGAATCCTCCAGCGAAAACAGCACACCATACAGTGACTTTGAGCGTGTGTAATGGCTCTTCGTGGGCTACACGCAAATTTTCAGTGTCCCAGAAGCGTAAATTTTACTTATTTACGTACCCGCTAAGGTGGAAATGGGCCTCATCACTTATGATTATTTTTGATGAAAAATCATCTTCCTCTTGGTGGTGATTAAGGATGGCTTGAGCGTATGCTAGACGCGATTGGCGGCCAGCAGCTAACAGCTGATGCACCGTCTGGACTTTGTACGGAAAAATCTTCAAATCTTGTACCAAAATTCGCTGTAAACACAGTTTGTACGAAAGCTTTTCCGCTTCAGAATTGGAGAAAGAGAAGACAAAAAGCTTTCATTGGAAAAGCTGTACATTCATCTTTAAGCATTCCATATCCTATTAGATAATTAAAAAAAAAATCTACATTAATCTGAAAGCTTTCCCATATCAAAGATATAACTTTTGCTGAAGAAAGCTGAAGTTTAAACTTTTTCTAGTTTATTATTCTACGATAGTATAAGAATTATCTTCCACTTCTGGATACACGATTTGTCTCTACAGGGGTGGTTTAAAAGTTCATAAAAGCTTGTTGGATAAAGTTCCCTGTTCATATTTCTTAGATAATTAATTAAGGGATCATTGTTTGTCATGACAATTCTATGTAGAAGTCAAGCAAAGTAGTTTTAGTTAGTATATTTTCGGGGATTCGAAAGCTCTATCTCAATAAATTTAAACATGCAAAACGTCAACGAGCATTGACAGCTTTCACTGGAAAAAACCTGCACATTATTCTTAAAGCTTTCCAACCTCAAACAGATCAGTGAAAAAATCTCTGCATTTTCCTTAAAGCTCTCTCACATCAGAGATAGAGGTTTTGTTCGAAAAAGCTCCAGCTAAATCGTTCTATTTCAGAGGGTTTTTAATTCGCCGCTGCACTTCTCCTCCATATTATGAGATTGAAAAAACCAACTTCTTAAGCTCTTTAAATAAATATTTATGTCATAAAACGTGAATTTTTTAAATTATTTTTTATTGAATAGAAAACAGTTACAATCGTTGTCATGAAATATTATATATGTATTAAATATAAAATATGTGTCTATGCATATGATCCAGATTTCGGGGACTTTTGCATTAAATATCGAATATATTAACGAAAATTCATTATCCTAATTAATCACAGTTATTATTGAAAGCCTTTGTACTTAAAAACTAAAAGCTTGATCCGTGCCGATCAGGCAAATATGTTAATAACAAACTATACTAACGATCACTAACATTATGAGTTTAGTGGATACCCACGATGGCGGTTAAGCGACGCCAGTGTAAAGCGCATAAAACCAGGAGCGCTGAGAGCACGCCATAACCCTGAGCACTCAGCGCGACGGCGCCACCAGTGCTTGGTGTAGTGATGGGAGTGCTTGTAGCCGTATTGTTATTCTTATCTTCACCGCTGTCTTCTTCAATTTCGTCTTCACCATCTTTCGGCATATAATCATGGCAAGTAGGGAAATTCTTTGGCGTCGACTTCATTTGATCATTGTCACCAACTTTGATAATAAGCGCCATGCCAATTTCCGCATGAAATTCGATATGACAATGGAAGAGCCAAAAGCCGGGGTTATAAGCCTCGAAGCGTAAAATGGTGTAACCGCCATCCGGTATGGTCACGGTGTCCTTGATCGGTGGTCTATCGAGATTGCGTTTGAGCAAATTGTAGCGATCGAGTTGTTTCACCTATTGGAAAGAAAGAGAGCAAAACACAGAATGATATATTATTAGAGAGAGTGAGATTGGGTATTTGCAGAGTCACTTGCCATTTCAATAGTGACATTGGAGCCCAAACGTTCTAGGCCCACCACACGAAAAGCATTGCCATGCAAATGGAAGGGATGATTTGCATCGAACGTGAAACCTTCATCGACCACGATCAGCTCAACGACGGAGTTTAACGGCACTTGTAGCACATGATGACAATTACAGAAATCTGTTCTACAATCAATGCCTTGCTGCGCCAGACTTGTGTCATTACAGAAGAGCGAATCATCGACATTATTGCGTTCAGGCATCAGTGCCATCGGTGGTATCTTCAGTGAAATGTGATTCAATTGTGGTGTGTATAACTTGTTGGTCTTACCCAAGCTGTCGTTGAAGCTGTAGTAATCACTAGGATGGAAAACCGGATTGTCCTTGGCATAGAAATCATAGTAGACGAAAAATTTATAATCAGCCACGGGTTTGAGCGCATCACGATCCACACCCGGTACTGTATCGTAAATTGGTAGCGCTGTCATTTCGGCGGCAGTCAATGAATCCGGATGTCCCGAGCCGCGATTCATCGCATTCAGCTCGATGCCGTCGGCTTTGTGTTGCCAACCCAGCACGCCGCTTGGCTCTGTCTCACTAGCATCCTCATAACGCAATATACCCACTTGAAAAGCGGATGTAAATTGATCGCTACAATCCATTAGACCCTTGAAACGTATCCAATAGTTGCCGATGGACTGATTTGCATTCAATACGAAGTCGAAACGTTCGCCAGCATAGGTGACCATGGCGCCCACCTCGAGTGGTTCGAAATCATAGCCATCCGAGTGTATAGCTAAGAGTGTGTGATTGTCAATGGACAAAGCGATGGGACAGTTGAGGAACTCGGCGTTGATAATGCGGAAGCGATAACGGAAACCGCGACGCACGTGGAAGATTTGTAGTGGCATTTGATGCAATTGGATGTCGTCAACAGCGCGTTTCGTACGCTGCACGTTGGTGGGTTGCGCTGTAAGATCAAACTCCACTTCCGGTTCGGCGTCACTACGGTCCGATGGCGACGGTGGCTGCTGTGCCACATGCGTTAGACGTGAGATCTCATTAATATTGCGCAGACGCATGTTGTTGCGACTGGTATCGTTGTGCGGCTGTAGAAGCTCTATTTGGGAAGGTGTCAAATCGTATTGACCTCCAACCTCCGATTGATTGAGTACAAAGGTTAATGGTGTGGTGCTTGTTGTTGGAGTGGTTGTAGTAGTAGTCGAAGTTGGGCTTGGTGTTACTGGCTTATCATCCTGAGTATTTGGCTTGTTAACTGTGGCCGTACGCGCCTCTTTCTTAGCTTGATCCCAGATCGCATAGTAGAAGCGACCGCGTCCATTCACCAGCAAATTCACCGGCTTATTGTCGCCGCGTGAGTGATGATGCGACGAAAATATGCTTACACCGGGTGTATGCACCCAATCCTGCAAGATCATCTTGTGTTCGGACAAGTCGAAATCATAGAGATGCCCATGCGCCTCCATAGCGCGCGGACGACGCACAATGAGCGCGCCGAAGACGCCATCACCACGTTGCATGCCGGTGTGCGAATGCCAGAAGTGTGTGCCGGTATTTTCCGCACGAAAGCGATAACGGAATGTGGAATGCGGCGAGATGGGACACTGCGAGATATGCGGCACGCCATCCATATATGGGTAGTTGCGTTGATGCATGCCATGCCAGTGTATGGTGGTACTGTCACCCAGTAGATGATTATGCACGTCGACCACAATCATATCACCCTCGCACACCTCAATCGATGGACCCGGCATCATGCGATTCACCACCATAACGCTGCGTTCGATACCATCGCCGAGCACACAATGCGGTCGCTCACAGTCTGTGCCATTCTGTGGACAACCATAGCAAGCCTTTGACATAGTCTCATACCATTCTACCACAAAATTGTAACGACAGGTCATCGGATCGGCATTTGATTGACATTCGCGTGCGCACGGATGATTGCGATAGAATTCTTCTGTCCAAATATCACCGTTCTGCTCACGCATTCTATTGGAGCGCGCCGTCGGTGCTTCGCGGCCGCGGCATTGCTGACAGCAGTCCTTCACATACACCTGCTCACGTGGACAATCCAGCGGCAGCGGCGCACAAGTCTTCTCGAACACATTAATCATTGGTGTGACGACGGAGCGTTCGGGTAGCGGTGCGCATTCGTACATGGTGCAACCGTCCGGACTATGCCAAGTCTGTCCCAGATCGTAGACGGTATCGTTGAAGCGACACTTGGTGCGCACGCATTCGCCGCAGCAGCTGCCGGGTTGTGGACGTAACTCTGAATCCTGTTGAGAAGGAGAGAGAGAGATAAAGAGAGAGTTGGTTGGTATTTAAGTAAAGCAGCAGGAAAAGAAAGAGGACTTCTCTTTGAGTTATACAAAATTTGGTCAATACATACCACATCGCAATAGAACTGTCCACAATCTACATTGGTAATGGTCTCTCGCGGCGCGCTGTTTTCATCTTGTTCGCAGGTGTGTATGTTGCATGCATCTTGCGAGGAAACCCAAACTGCGCCGATTTCACGCGTCTCTGGTTTATCGTCTATAATCACAGTGCAGACAGAGGGTGCTGAAAGTACAGAGTCAAGAAAAGTTTTGAAATGAAAGGGGATTGAAATATTTTTCGGTATTTGGAAAATCGACCTTTGAAGTGTAGTGAAAATATGTACATATATATGAATTCTCGATCTGACCCACGAAGTGTTCACAAAATCTCAGTAAACCTCAGTGGTCATAGACCCACTTAAATTTATTTAAAATATGAGAAATAAAGCTTCGAAGAAGATGGAAACATGTGTAGAAATTCACGCAAGTGAGAAAAGTTCTGTGATTGCCATTCATTTGGGAGTGGCGAGAAAAAATTCGTTTACATATGGCTCAAGCAGCTCACGACTTCCGGTCTTAGACCAATTATTCTCTGAGTAGGCAAAGAACATCCGTTAGAAGGCGAGCCAAAGTGAGAAGACGAACCATTCCCTCCCGAGGGCTGTCTAGAGCAGGGCACCAGAGAAACAATGGAACATCTCTTGTGCACTTGTTCAGCATAGCACGCTACGCTGTAAGCATTTAGGATGACCACGGTATGATACAATGAAAAAGATATCGGAGCTTCCTAAAAACGGTTGACTTAAGCAAAGTAAAGACCCATTTAGGTAAAACAGGGTAAAAGCATTACTTTGGGAAAATTTACCAAAACTGTCGAGTCATGCTTGCATATTTCCGGGAGTATTTATAGAGAAGAGGAAAACTGAAAAGCCCTCAATGCAAGTAATTTCGAAAGTGTGCTTAGAGTACAACTTTGTCGAAGTTATGCAAATATCAATCGTAGTTAAAAGGCAATTTCGTGTCGTTGAATAAATCATTTGTCATTATCGTAATACCAGGCTTGAAGATGTAATAGGCGTTTTCTACTTCAACCGCAAAATCACTACTTCGCTTAAACGTCGTTGCAACTCGTCAATGTTGCCGTCGTGACGACTTCGATACGCTCACCTGTTGATGGTGCTAGTTTGCTTGCCAGCTGCTACACAAAAATTCGTGATATTTTAATGAAAATATGTATATTTTTTTCTTTGAGAAATGAAATCAAAAATATTTTTTCCCTTAAATTAATTAATTGATTATTAAAAATTAGTGCTTCAATTATAGGTTTCTTGTATAAAATGTTATTACTGTTTATTGGCGCATACAATTAACTGCTGAATGGCTTGCTTTCATTCGTTTGCGCGAATTAGTTGGGCAGTCTACTTCGTGCACAATACGCGAATCGTGATTTTTCCCGTTCATTTAAAGAAACACATTAGAATAACCAGCAAAAATGCAAATTCGCTAAACCTTTTGAAATTGTTTGTAAAAAAATAAAAAGCGAAAAAATAAAAATTTTATTAAAATGTATTCCACCCTTTATTGCCGGCTAACTTGAAATAGAAAGTTCGAACGGGTGAAAAATACAATCTAAGCCACATGTGACACGCCGGTCACGATCGATTTGAATATTTGGCACATCATCAAAATGCATTTAAGCGCAATAAATAATAAAGGCAGTCACAACACACGAAACAGGCTATTGAACAGGGGAATTAGAAAGGTAAATGTAATAATAATATATAAAACAAATTTTGATTTTATTATAAAAAAATTAAAAGATTTCAAAAAACAAAACATGTAAAAGATTAAATATAGAAAAAATATGTAAAATGCATGCAAATTTATTTAAATTAAAAAATATTTATTTATTATTTATAAAACGTGAAACAATAATACAATTACTTTTCCACGAAAAAAGGAGCACTGGCTGCCAGGACCAATAAAATAATAAAAGTATGCAACATTAAAATAATAAAATAAAAAATTACTAAAGCCATGAAGAAAAAATAAATGTAGCAAAAGTTATAAAAAATATAAAATACCATTATTATAAGAAATAATTTAATACCAAAATTACAATTTTTTTTATTTATAAAAAAGTAAAAAATTATGAGATAAAATATTATAAACCAAAAAATTATTTGGAAATTCAAAACTTTATTTGGAAAGAATTTAAAAGACAGCTAAAATAGATACTAAATAATAAAGCAAAATGAATTGAAGTAACGAAAGTAAATTTACATAAAAATAAAAAAATATATTGAAAACAGTTTTAAAAATAAACAAAACGTAAAAAAATTATGAGTGAAAATTAAATAAAAAAAAGAATTAAAAATATAAACAAATAATTGAAAAAATTACGTTAAAACCAATTATTAAAAATTATATTAATTAAAGTGTTAAAAATAATCAAAATTTAAAAGAATTGTAAGCAAAGATTAAATTGAAATTAAAACTAAAAATTAAAAAAAAAATTAAAATTAAGTTACATAGATTTTATGCTAAATTTCGAAAACACTATAAAAAGTAATAAATTAAAAATTGTTGAACGTACATATATTAAAAATTAAAACACCT